CTAGCCTTGAGCAAAATAGCTACGGACATCACCTGGGCCATGAGTTCAAGTCCCAGGACTGGCACACACACAGAAAAAAAAATGTTGAAGCAGACTAATATAGACTTCAGCTTTCCTCCACTGAGGTACACATGAATTCAACTGCCATGGATTAGAGCTACGTGGGACACTGATTGGACAAGTGCCTCCCTATGTTGTGATAGGAGAAGGAAACTAAAACTGGTTTTGCAGCTGTGTCTGCCATCACTCACACAGGCTAAGTGGAATCCAGCCAGATGACTCAGACTCACTGGTACTCTTGGAAATTCCTCGCTTCAGTTCACAAAGGTGTATTTGGTGAACTATGATACCATTTGGATGATTTAAAAACAGTGGCTGGTAACTATCTGTGTGTATGTTTATGTCGCTTCAAAAGGGATGACATTAAAAAAAATAGTAAAGAAGCTGGGTGCCATTGGCTCATGCCTGTCATCCTAGCTACTCAGGAGGCTGAGATCTGAGGACTGTGGTTCAAAGCCAGAAAAGTCGGTGAGACTCTTATCACCAATTAACCACCAGAAAACTGGTGCTGTGGTTCAAAGTGGTAGAGTGCTAGCCTTCAGTGAAAAAGGTCAGGGCCAGCACACAGGCTCTGGGTTTAAGCCCCATGACTGACAAAATTAGAAAAAAAAAATAGTAAAACAATTACAAATGAATGATATTTTAACTCATGAAATTAGTTCTGTGATTTGGTCATGGCTGTTTTATATATTTTTAAATGTGCCATTTTGAAAGGATTCATAACGAGTTAGATCTTACTCATATCTCACATTTTGAAAGAAAGCAAGAATATATCTAGCAAATTTAATTCTATCCTGTGACCATCCATCCGGTAAAGTACTCACAAAAATTTATCAAGGGGGTGCTGAGAAGGTGGCTTAGTGGTAGAGCGCTTGCCTTGCATGCATGAGGCCCTGGGTTTGATTCCTCAGCACTACATAGGCAAAAAGAAAAAAGCCGCAAGTGGTGCTGTGGCTCAAGTGGTAGAGTGCTAGCCTTGAGCTGAAGAGCTGAGGGACAGCGCCCAGGCCCAGAGTTCAGGCCCCATGACCGGACCCCCCAAAAAAAATCATCAAGGGATGCAAGATAGCAGAGCCATTTTAAAAAAGTTGATTATTTCCTTAGACCACATAGACAGAACATGAAGATAGAAAAGCTGTGTATTGTGTAGGAAAGGGTATTTGAAATGACATCTATATATTTATCTCCTTGGAATTCACAAAAAATGTCCCCCTATTTTTAAAGTTAATCACTTTTCAGAAACTAGATAAATCACAAAATGACACAAAAAAGGTTCCCCTGTATTGGGAGAGCTAACACCTGGCAAAGCCTAATATGCAATAGTACAGAATATTTCCTACCATGCTCGGTAACATCTCTGGCAATATACTTTCAAATAACAATGCAATGGATTGTGGGCTTTTTTGAAAGCAAGAATGTGTCTTCTAAAATCTCATTTTAGTAAATATTTTTCATTTACTATCTGATCTAAAAGAGAGGCCCAGACCTTGTAAAGACAATGGAGCACTGCCAGCTGCAGGCTTCCTGCCTGGCATTTAGAAATGTGACAGGGAATGAAAGAAGTCTCTCATCACAGGAAGTGTCCAAAGAAGAGACAGAGCTGCAATTGTATCCAACTCTTTATTTTAAAAAAGTAATACAGACAAAGGAGATTGACTCATGAAAACAACTGATGTCCGGGCCCTGCGCTGCTACTCCTAGTAACCATGGCAACCAAGGTACAGGCTATACTTGTGTTAAAGTTGGTATTGGGTTTTTTTTGGAGTATTGTTACTATTTTATTAGAAGCCACAGATGGGGAATTTCGGATTTGGTCTGTATAAGGTTTTATCATGGATAAGGATGCAAAGAGACTAGTGATGTGACATTTGGACCATTGCAATAGCCAACTAACTGGTGTCCCTGCATCTATCTTTGCTTCCTTCTTAGTCTAACTCAACATAGTAGCCAGATTTTTTTTTCCGAAAGGACATTAAAAGGTCATCACCATGAGCTCCCTAGCTTCAGTTTCTTTAAAAGAACTCAACATTAGCCAGGTGCTGTTGGCTCATGCCTGTCATCCTAGCTACTCAGGAGGCTGAGATCTGAGGAATGCAGTTTAAAGCCAGACCAGGCAGGAAAGTCCGTGAGACTCATATCTCCAATAAACCACCAGAAAGCCAGAAGTGGCTCACGTGGTAGAATTAGCCTTGAGCTGAAGAGCTCAGGGACAGAACTAGGCCCAGAGTTCAAGCAGCATCACCGACAAAAACAAAAACAAAAGAACAAAAAAAACCCAACCCACTCAACATTATTGTCAGACTAACAAGAACCCTCACGAATGCTGTGCCTTCTTTGACCTCATCTCTAACCATTCTTCCAATTGCCCATTGCACCGTAGTAGTAATGGACTCTTGCTGACACTTGACCATCTTTGACTCCTTCTTACCTTGTGGACCTTAGCACTTGCTGTTCCTGTGGGAAGAATTTTAAATTGGAATCTTTACTCAATAGCAATTTGAAAGGAAAATGATTTGTTTTTAGGAGATAGCACATAGTATATGAAATTATTATTATTATTGCCAGTCCTGGGGCTTGAACTCAGGGCCTGGGCACTGTCCCTGAGCTTCTTTTGCTTAAGGCTAGCACTCTACCACTTGAGCCACAGCGCCAACTCTGGCCTTTTCTGCTGATGTGGTACTAAGGAATTGAACCCAGGGCTTCATGCATGCTAGGCAAGCACTCTACCACTAAACCACATTCCCAGCCCCTATATAAAAGAATTATTGTCTGTACTTAGAAAATGCAATGCTGTTTCACTGACCTAGAGAAAAAAAGCCCACATTACTACTATTTGTAGTTGCAAAACTGACAACATTGATATGAAATGAGGAAGGTCTTGTAAATTTTTATATCTTGGAGAATATGGGATTTTCCATTTCAAGTGCTTGTATTTGTCTGTAAATTTAGTTTTCAAATCCCAATATGAAAACCACACACACACACAGAACTAAAACACCAACACTAACTTAATCAAAGTTGGTTTTCGTGTGTAATATGTGCTCTTTCCTAACCTCTGAATGGTTTTTAAAGATCACTCCAAGTCATATGAAACCACAATTTATGAAACTTCAAGTTTTAGATGACCTTGCAAGTTACTGTTTAAAGGACTAATGTGTTGCATCACAATAAGCAGCTCTCAGAAGGCACAGAGAGAAAAAGACATCAAAATAAAATCCAGACTTGATGGTCTCTAGCTGATTTCTCCAAACTCATTTGAAAACATAAATGCTTTTCAGTTTTATGAACCATTTGGGAGAACTGTCATTAGAATGTAAAGTATATACACTGGAAAGGCACCAGACAGCAATAAAGATTGGTGAGTTAGGATAAAAAAAGACTGCACAGAATGTGCGGGTTGGTAGGTAACTTAGAAGTAAACGTTTTAAAAAACAAACAAACCCCAACAATGACCATGCTATGATTTATTTTTAAGGAAAAGGCAGCCATAATCACATAAAAGGCTTCTTGTGTTTAAACAGCTATAGAAATAAGTTAAATACTGCTTGCAAAGAAAGACCTCAAAGATGTAATTTCCTCTTCAATTATTAGGTAAATAAATATTGGTAGATTCAAAGGCTGAAGCTGTGTACTTCCTCTGACAGATAAATGCTATTTTTACTGAAATAGAGCTTGAACTTCAGACTAACACATGTCCTTGAGAACATGAGGACCTCTAACATCAGAAACTACATGTCTAAATGAGTTTGTAAAGAACTTGTGCAAAGATAAACAATATAGTTCCTTCAACTAAACAAGAAGTCTCCAAACAAAATCTAACTGCAGGATGAAGTATAGCCTAACTTTTATGATTCAAAAAGACCTATAAAGTAAGAATGGAAAATGAACTTTACAACCTTGACTGGGGAGGATGGGGGGGGGATGAGAATGGGAAGGGATGGGAAGGGGAAACAAACAAGGAGGCAACAATGCTAGATAAGAAATGTACTCATTACCTTGCCCGTGTAATTGTAACCCTTCGGTATGGTATTTTCACACACACACACACACACAAAACATTGGAAATTAAAAACACAAAAGACTGATGTTCTAGTCTTCTAAGGTTATGGCCTAAAGACATTATTCACTTAGTTCCACAATTCGAAGAGTATATTTCCCAGATGTCAATATTGAGCCAGTCTCATGAATTTAGATGAGGAAAATCTGACATTGGTGTGAATTGGGTTATTTGTGGTTGTGTAGCTTAGTCAAGTCACTGCAATTCTGTAGACCTGTTTCTTCATCTGTAAAGTTTCCAAACAACACTAATTTCTTACATATATAGAAAGAACCAAATGATAGCCTATTTAGGAGTAGTTCTCAACTCTGAGTACATCTTAAAAGTAGCCTGAGTAATGACAAAAGCAACAGGTTTGCCTGGGACCTATTCCATAGGTTCAGACTGAAATGTTCTAGGCCAGAGACCCTTGGCCCTTGGTACTAGTGAGTTTCAAAGCTCCTCAGAAGATTCTAATATGCAGCCATTCCTGAGAACCACAAACCCGTTGCTATAGTAATGATATTCAAAGTGCACATTAAGACTAAAGCAGCTCAGGCCTGAGAGCCTGGATTTCCAACCTGCTTCTAGAATACTGAGCTACTCTCAATCCCAATCTGGGTACAGTGGGGTAACAAATGGTCACAAAGCACATGGAATAGTTATCATTCTCCCTCCTCTCCTCTTTCCTTTCCCTTCTCCCTCTCTCTCCAAATGATAACTTTTAGTGTTGATGGTATCTCCTGTGGCAAACAATCTTAAGATTATTTGAAGAATAGCATGTATAAGATTTTAAGAAACAAGTACAAAGGGTCTTATACACACAGACACACAGACACAGACACAGACACACACACACACACACACACACACACATACACACGTGTGTGTGTGTGCGTGCCTGGGGGTATCTGTTAAGGAAATATTCATATATGATCACAAACACACCCACTTGCTATGGTACCACTGTTCCCCACATTCATTACAAATAGCATAAGTCATCATCTCTTCATCTGGGTTCGAACTTCGCACCCAGCTTGGAAGGAAAAGGGTTCCTCTGGCAATGACGGTGACCTTGCAGTTGTAGTTCTCACAGCGTCTGCATTTTATTTTATTTGTCTGTGTGCCATCAATCGCTTGGGGAAGGTAATGATCCTGGATACAGGATTCCGTGTAGGAAGCCCTGAGCTGTTTCAGTTCCTGGTTTGCCATCTCCATGACAGTCATTTCAGCAAACTGTTTTGCAGACATGGTACCAGACAGCAAATTTTGTTGTAAGTGAACATTTTTGGGGTTCTTCAAGTTGGCAACTTTGCTTCTGACACAGGTTTTGTATTTTTTGATGTTCTTTGAATAGAGGGCAAAAATATGCTCTTCAATTTCTCTTGCAAATTTTTGCCACAAATCATCTTTGGGATGATCTGTGGAAGAACTAGTTAAAGCTGTGTAAAGGAGCTCTACACATTTAGTTCTCATGGACATTGTTGGATCCTGCAACCCATTTGATTTCTGCCCAATGGATTTAGAGCCACCAGTTCTGAAATGTTCTTCTTTAGCTTCCATTTGAGCAGCACTATTTTCAGGCACAATTATTGCAGTGGAGTTTACAACTGCTTGAGATGATAGCAGAGAGTTAGAACTACAGAGACTTAAGATCTTATGGTTCAGGTCTTGAGAAAGTCCTGCATGTTCTTCTTTATTACCATCCGAATGGACTGATTTAGGGCTTTCCCTTGGTTTAACGTATATATTCTTATAAAGAGCTTTCCACTTTGACAGCAAACACTTGGCTTTCTTTTTCAAAGCCACTGAGGGGCAGTTTTTGAGGACTCGATACACAGCTCTGACCACATCTGTCTCTTGGAGATGTGCCTTAGTCACATAAAACATTTCTAGCTCAGTAAGGTGGTTGCCAAGATCCTCAAAATTCCTTTGAGACATCAGTTGTTCAATAAGGGAAGCTCTAGCAGCTATCTGGGTTTTGTCAGACATCTTTACAGCTGCAAAGAAAAAAGATCATTCTGTTATCTGCAGCTTGCCTTTGTTGGTTAAAGTTCTTGCATAGTGAAATAGCTCTTTCTGCTAGTTACCTATGTGCACAACATTTTCTGAAGAAGCAATGTGTTCTAAGTGGGTGTGACATGTTAGAAAATGGAATCTACAAATGTGGAACAGTTTAGTTTCAAGTTTTATTCTCAATAGTCCAAGGGAAAAAAACACACTGCAGGCTTTCAGCAGAATATTAAGAGGCTTGCTGGAGGATTCACTGTAATTTTTTTCCACCTCCAATTGTGCAAATCAATCTTTGCAGATCAGATTAGTCAATTCATTTGGACAGAATTTGATGATCATGTTGCACACTAAATTATGCCTGAGTCAGCATCAATATGGTAGTGCTGAACAATGTCAGGCTATTTTCCTTCTCATATTTAGCTATGTGTGTGAAATACTTGCTGATTTTTTCATCTTAAAAGTGGTAATTTTCTGAATTCAAAAGAATGGAAAAACAAGATAAAGGGGGGAAATGTCTTCAGAAATCTAAAGAAATTGTGAGATAGCACGTGGTGGGAAGCGGCTGGAACTAGGTCTAGTGAGCCCCCAAAGTCAACAGGATGCATTGTGCTGAAATTGGAGCCTTTGGAAAAATAGAGAAGTTACACAGATGATATAGAACTTTGGGCTAAGTGGTCCCTGCAGAGTCTGGTTTCATTAACTTTTTTTGAATGTGTGCCAGTACTTGGGCTGGAACTCAGGGAGTTGTGCTCGCTGATGTATCCCTGATGGGATAACACAAAGATGACCAAGAATCAGAGCCTTGCATGTAGAAATCCTAGGCAGTCCTTTTGTGTTTTCATTTAAAGTCATTTTTCCAATTCCTGAGAACAAACACTTAAAGATAATTCTTTTTACTTTTAAAAAGTCCACATTTTTAAAACAGCAAAAGTGGTCTTGCTAGGAATCAAAGGCTCAACAAAGAATAAGCAAGATAGCACAGGAAAAAAAAAACCACACCCTCAACTGTTGAACACTTGTGTCTGAAGTATCTGCTTCAGATCCTGGGAAAGTCAAACAATCATGTTACAATGATGAGGTTGCAAGCTGCTCAATATACTTGAGCCCTGGCCTGCTTGTTAGAAAGTTTCCTCATCAACAAGCAATGTTTATATTCTGCCTGGATTCTCTGTGAAGTGCTTCTGGAGAAATCAGGAAGAAGGTTGTCCAAATGGTACAGTGCTTTCCTGGTGTGAAGCGCTAGGCCCCATTCCCAGCACCACAAAAATAAAATGGAGTCCAGGCCTAGACTGCTCACAGGACATGCGACATTTGACTTGGGTCCAAATTTCTCAACCAAAGGTCTGAATTCTCAAGGCATTGTGAAGGTGAACTTCAGGGTTTCAGAGCTATGAAAGCAGCAGTTCAGATTTGTTTGTGTAAATCTATAGAATTTAATGCGTAAAACACATTGTTCTTCATTTTATATGTTGGTTAAATTTGCCTTTTCTTCATTTTTTTTTGGGGGGGGTGTCCAGTCAAGAGGCCTGAACTCTGGGCCTGGGCACTGTCCCTCATCTCTTCAGCTCAAGGCTAGCACTCTACCACTTGAGCCACAGCGCCACTTCCAGCTTTTTTCTTTTTTTCTATGTGGTGCTGAGGAATCGAACCCATGCCCTCATGCATACAAGGCAAGTGCTCTACCACCGAGCCACCTTCCCAGCCCCTTCATATTTATTTAAACATTTTAATTGTGATAAAATACATAAAACATAAAATTTACCTTTTTAACTTTTGAAAATATAGCAGTTCAGCAGTATTTACCATTATATTTTCATCTGACAAAAAGGAAACTCGTGTGCTCATTAAACAACTCCCCATACCCTAGCCCTGGCAACCCCCATTCAGCTTTCTGTCCCTATGGAGTGGACTAGTCTAGGTATAAGTATAATCACATGGTATTTGTCCTTTTGTGTCTAGCTTATGTCATGCTATATAACAGCCTAAAGGTTCATCCATGTTGTATCACGTGTCAGAAATCCATTCCTTATTATTGTTAAATAATACTCTCCTGTGTATATGGGCCACAGTTTATCTATTGATGGCTACTTATGTTGCTTCCACTAAAGTGTACAATTATATCTTGGAGTGTCTGTTTTCAATTCTTTTACGTATATGTGCACAAGTACAATTGCTAGAGCTTATGGCAATTCCACTTTCAAAGTTTTGAGGAACTCACACTTTTTTCCTATTCTTCTCCATACTTTTGAAGAGCATTGAAATTTTGCCAAACTTTCTCTTTTCCCTGTGAGACAATCACGTGACTATAAAACTTTTATCATACTATAGAAGTTAATGGGACTCAAAATCTTGAGATTTGCCATAAAATGACAAAATAAGCTGCGTGTCATTTTAGTTCTACATAGTTTACTCAACAAATATTTATTATGTAGCTAGAATGTGCTGGATACTGATCCTAAAAAGACCATCTTCCTTGAAGAGACTGACAGCCAAGTGGAAGGGATACTGACCACAAAGTGGATAATTACAATAAATGTGGCTGCTAGAATAAACACATAGTATGGGTACCAAACCCTATTTGGGTTATCATCTGGCCAGCTGCAATTGCTTCTTTACTACCTTCACTGGCTCATGGCACTTTGTTAGAATGACCTCTGTACAGAACTCGGCAAGATATCCCCTCATTTTCCACGTAAAGCTCTTCAGAAGTTCCCCTAACACTCTTAGGATGGAGCTCAGGCTCCTTGGCTAGATAATGAAAAGTGTACCACCTCCTCTCCCTCCCTGACTACTTACAACCCCAGATAGGCATTCTGTTTCACAGCTCAGTGCATTTGCTCTAGCAGCCACCTGAGCCTGGCCTCTCACTATCATCGGTGGTTTTTAACCCTGTCTGTATTACCTGGAGGAAATGAAAGGAATGAACAGACAAACAAGGTTAAGGCCTCACTCCAGATGGAATGAATTTGGATAATTGTTAGGTTCTTCAGTTGATTCTAATTAAAATCACACACAGGCAATAGTGTCTTCAGCCACAGTAGGACTCTCAGATAGGCTGTCATTAACCCCCAAATAAGGCTGAGATTCTGCTTCTGGACTAAACACAGAGAACCCATCTGACTTCAGATTTGGCTAGGTGAGTCCTACTATATCTCATATGAGAGCCTCCACAAATTGTACCTGGTAATTGTCATATTTTAAGTGTCATGAGTATACAATTTCTGGTGTTTGCTCCCTTACCTTAAATCCAGGGAAGGAAATATGTATTTATTGAGCAGTTCTGTACCATTCACCATCATGTCATTTTAAGCCACACAATAAGCCGAAGGTATGAGTATAGCTCATCTCCATCTTGCAAAAAAGAAAACCTATTAAGAAACATCCAATAATCACACAGTGTTTTTTCCCATGGTGCTTGCCACATTAATAAAAACATGTTAGCTTTTCCACCAAGAACATAAGGGAAGAGTCACCCATTTTATTCAACTGTACAAATCTGCCAAACAATTTATTCAACCAATATTTCCTTTTGTTAAATAAGTGACAAGCATCCTGGATGCTTTCTGTCCTCTCTGTTTGCAAATTTCATTTCCTTTCAAACAAGACCTTGTATTCAGCTTCTTCCCTGGAAGAACAAGCCCATCTTGATTCTAGTTAGAAAAAAATCATACAAAAATACTAGATGAGATAAACCATGGGGTCCATTGTAGGCCAATCAAGTAGATCTAGGGAACCAAACAAACCTTTTGGACGAGCTGACTCTGGTATAGTTGTCAGAGTGAGGGGAGTGTCCAGCAAATTGGCTAAGTTTGCTGGCCATCCCTGTGCTCGTTTTCCCACCTACAAAATGAGGGAAATTAAGCATCCTATGATTAATGTGATCATTGATATCTTTGTGTGTGTGTGTGTGTGTGTGTGTGTATTGTGTGTATGCACGTGTGCTGGTACTAGGGCTTGAACTCAGGGTCCGGGGGGGCTGTTTCTGATCTTTTGTGATCAAGGATAGTGCTTTACTACTAGAGCCACACTTCCACTTTCTCCTTTTTGGTGATTAATTGAAGAGTTTCACAGACTTTCCTGACTGGGCTGGCTTTGAACTGTGATCCTCAGAACTCAGCCTTCTGAGTAGCTCAGATTACAGGTGTGAGCCACCAGCACCCAGAGACATGTTTTTTAAATTTTAAATTACTTTTAAGTAGTTGGACAAAGGGGTTCAAATTCAGTTTATAAGTACAATTTATATTGATCTATGTCACCCCTTCCATCGTTCTCTCCCATCTCTCTCAGGAGATAGTTTTTTTATAAAATGCTAAGAAGTTTATAACAAGTCTGACCATTATGTGGGTCTACAGTTTAAAAGGTTTAAAAGTATCTCCAAGTGTAGTGACATATCTCTGTAATCAACAGCATTCAGGCGGCTGAAGGAGGATCTCGAACTCTAGGCCACCATCTCAAAACACAAAACCAGCCAACCACACAAAAAGCTGAAGAATATCCACCATATCAGGTTCTGGTCCAGAGTAGGGGCTGGCAATATTTTCTATAAAAAGCCAAACAGTAACCAGGCCATACACTCTCTGCCTAAACTACTCAAGTCTTCAACTCTTGAAGCAGAAATAGCAGACATAGAAAATACAAGAATGAGTGGACACAACTTGGTTCAGACAAAGCTTGTTTCCACAAACAGGCCGACTGAATTTGCACAGGCATGGTTTCTTGACCCTTTTCTAGAGTAGTGTGGCCCCTCAGAAATAATAAGCAATACACAAACATGCTTTATAATTTTCTAAAAGGCATATTAAAAATAAAAGTACATAAAATTATTTAACACAGTATTTCCAAAATATTGTCTTTTCTTTTTTCTTTTTTGTCGGTTGTGGGGAATGAACTCTGGGCCTGGGCGGTGTCCCTCAGCTCCTCAGTTCAAAGCTAGCCCCCTACCACTTGAGCCACAGCACCACTTCCCGCTTTTTCTGCTTCTGTGGTGTTGAGGAATCGAACCCAGGGCCCCATGCACGTGAGGCAAGCACTCTACCATTGAGCCAACTTCCCAGCCCTGTCTTTACTTAAAAAAAAAATGTGGTGTTAGAGATCAAGCCCAGGGCTTCATACATGCTAAGGTCTGTCACTGACCTACATTCTAAGGCCTCCAAAAATAGCCATTTCAAAATGCAATTGATAAAAAAAAGTTGTATTTTAATTTTTTTCATATAATTCTCAAAATTTTTGTTTTATGTTTACAGCACCTCTCTATTTGGACAAGTACATTTCAAATGCTCAAGCCTTATGGAACTTTATTAGATAGTCCTAAAACATATAGTAATATTGATCATCCTGAGCTGCACACCTAAGTGTGCTCTAGTTTCTGAGTAAAAATAAATATGAATTTCAACAGTACCACAAGTATAGGCCCTAAGTGAACGCATATAACAAAGCTTGTAAATATCAACTCATATTATATACGAGCAAAGTGTATACACATGCACTAAAGTAACAGCCTAAATCCTAAGAAGTACAAGAGAAAAGTTCATGGTGAAATTTCCACAAGCTGGTAGCATATTAGCATTGGCAGTAGTCTAGATCTGTTTATAGATTTTTAGGTCTCTTTTAGACCTAAGGAGCAAAAATGCATATTATGGCCCTCACCTATACACAATTCTCCAAGGTCACGGGGAGCACCTTCTAGGGAGAGATATGCTGCCAAATTCTGGCAGAATGAGGCGTTGCAGATCCTACACTAGGGCTCTTCCCTATGATGATCCCTAATAGTCGTGAGCGGCAGAGTGGAGCAGCCTCAAGGCTCGTCTGGAAATGGTTCGAGTTCCGGTGGGTGGAGTCTAGCACTAAGAAAAGCCCGCAGCTAACCCTCCGGGGACCACAGCCTGACCGTGACCGACAAACCAGCAGCAGCGGTCCGCGGGTTCTGCCCACCCCGCTGACAACTAGAAGAGAGGGAAAAAATGAGATGACAGCACCTTAAGGCCTCCTGGGCCCAGGGCGCGCCAGAAAGCCTCTAAGTGCCGGAACCGGCTTCCACAGGAAACAAGGGCTCGCCCTTCACCACGCGGAAGCCCCGCAGATCCCAGAAAGAGACTCGCTGAAATGCGCAGGCGCGGGACCGACGCGGTTCCGGAGCTCTCAGAAAAAAATAACTTCCGATTGCCAAGGCTGAATGACAGAGGCTCAACCAATCAAAACCCAGAAACCAGAGAACGAGGGTGTGGGACCCAGTCCACCGTGGCAGGGAAATAGCGAATGCGCAGCAGGATCTGCAACCTAAGGGCTGACTCTTTGAAGTTTCCAGTGGGAGGAGCGAAGCTGGCTGCTTGGGCCTAACCTGAAACTATGCTAGCTGGGCTGGCTGGGTTTTGTGTGTGTGGTTTTTTTGTTTGTTTGTTTGTTTGTTTGTTTAATTTCTTAGCAGCCAAGTTTGTTGAACTGCTCTTCAACGTACCCTTTTTAACTTTCTCTCAAGACAGTGGTCAGTTTGATATTGACATTATTGTGGACATAAACTTAGCTAATTAATCCAATAAATATTTATTACACAACAGTTGGTCTAAAAGTGATACACATTCTGTAATTCTGTGTAACCTGAACTTCTTAGCTGTGCTCACTGTTTGCCTGCAATTGTGACAGTGGGCTAGAGAAGGTGGCAGTCTCTTTTTGTTGATTCCCCCACTCCAGAATAATTTGGTGAAAAGTTTCAGGAAACAGAATATCCACTCCAGTTTTTCTGCACCAGATACTGTCAGAAAGCAGGATGATTCTATGATTGAGTCATGTGATAAGTTTTAGCACCAGGGAGGGAAGACAGTGATGCATAGTGATCAGCATAAGGGGTGTCTGATCATTTTTGTGGTTTGGAAAATGCTATGTTTTTGCCACCATTATGAACAGGACAGGATTACAAAGGAGTCTTGTTTTTGTCATGAATTACCACTGCTAGAGAGTAGCCTTAGCTGAATGTCAATGTTTTGTGAAATTATTTATGTTCTACCGAAGAACACCAAGGCCCAGCTGTAAGGACTCAACTAGCTCGGAGCTGTCAGAGTTGCTTTTCCTGTTTCTAGACTTCAAGCTATTGCAGGGATATTGTAACTTTAGCTATTGTAAAGTTAGCTATTGTAACTTTAATTTCCACTTCTAGATTTTATATCGTTAAAAAAAGTTACAGCGACATTTATTAAAACATGGCAAGAAATCATTCTCAAGAATCTCATGATAAATATAAATCGGGTCTGTGACAATAAGATCTTGGCTTAGAGACAGATTGGACTTAGCCCCAAATATAGCATGGGCAAGAGGGGATTTTTAGTCAAGGAGCAACTGGGAGGCAGTGGATGGAAAAGTACTTATAAAAGGAAGCTTTAGGAATAGGGGAGATTCTGGCTAACCTTACTTAATAGGATTCCTGCCAAAGACAGGCCAGGATCAGAAGTGAGGCTGACAGTGGAGTATGTGGAACAGAATCAGATACTGACAGTGATCAAGTATTGAGTTGGGAGGTGCTAAGCTGACTTCCAGGGCTGTTCATTTAAAGTGGGAATTACAATAATGTGCTTAGATAAGGCCTAGGAGTAATTTCAGGAAACTGACTAAAATTTTCCCTACAAAGTATCTTTGTTCCCCCCTTACCCCCCACTTCACTTTTGCCTGTTTAAAGAAAAACTTTGTAGAAGTTAAATTTAGCAAAGTCTACTTGACCAAAAAACAATTCAAGAATTGGTGCTGAGAACCAGAAAAGGTACAGAGAGCTCAACTGGCAGTATTTATAGACAGAGAATGGCAGTCAAGTACTGTATAGAAATGTGTGGATTGGATGCAGTTCCACAATTACTTGTGTTTATACAGTCTGATCTGTTGGCAGACTGTGACTAGCTAATGATTGGCTGCTTGTGATTGGTTGAGCTTTGCCACTTATTATACTCACAAACAATGTTTGCAGTTTGTTTACATACTACGTTAAGTTACAATTCATTGTATAGGAATTCAATGTACAGAGATAGGCTAGTAGCTTTCTGTGTATTTAACATACTTAAGTAGTATTTTTCTTTTACTATTGATACTCTTGGTTCATTTTCTGAGTACCTGTCCTCTCTTGTGGAAACACCCAGTTAAAAATATGTGGCACTGAGCTGCAAATATAGCTCGGTAGTAGAATATACAGTATTATGGATTCCCCACAGTGGAGGGGAGTAAAGGGTATTATAGGTGTCCAGAACAATCTTTGCTCTTAAATATTGATTTAAACAAATACTCCTTTTGTGATCAGTTTTGTAACATTCAATTTTTAAAATATTTAATATTTATCTAGACAATTGTACCAAGCTAGAGGTGAGGTTTAGTGGAAAAGCACTTGCTTGGTATGTGCTAGGCTCTCAGTTCTATACCCAGCCTGGCATAAATCAAGTACGTCCCACAAATTGTCCTCAAACTATTAACGAATCAACTGAAGGGTGAGATTAGATACTGGAAGTTACTTCAGAAACTGTCAGTAGAGACCTGAGGGCTGTAAAAAGTATTTTCTTATGAGCTCTGTATGAGGAAGAAAAAGATATTAGTCAAAAATTTAAAAAAACAAGATAGTAAGCCAGGCTTTCCCCTTGTGTGAAAGAAAAAAAATTGTGCTAAGGATCAAGCTATAATTACTGCATGCCTTGTTTGCCAAATATGGCTACTTACATTTAAGTTAAAAAAAATCAAGCTGGGTGTTGGTAGCTCATGCCTGTCATCCTAGCTACTCAGGAGGTTGAGATCTGAGGATCATGATTCAAAGCCAGCCCAGGCAGGAGACTCTTATCTCCATAAACCACCAGAAAACCAGAAGTGGTGCTGTGGCTCAAGTGGTAGAGCACTCACCTTGAGTGGAAAAGCTAAGAGACAGTGCCCAGGCCCAGACTTCAAGCCCCACGACCAACAAAAAGAAAAAAAAATTAGTACCTCAGTTGCACTAGCCAAGTGTCAAGTTCTTGGCAATCACCTGTGGCTAGTGGACAGAACATAGGGAACGTGTCTTTTGCAGAAAAAAGTTCATAGCAAAGTGCAGACTGAGTTCATTTGGAGGCAATCTATAGTATGACTTACAGTGTACTAAAAAGATTTGTGAGAAGCTCATTCTTTGGGGCAATTTTTAAGTAGAAGTACTCAATTTGACAATAATTTCTCATACATTGTTTTCAGGCCTTTGTTATAAAACCATCTTTCAGCTGTTTTAGTACTTTGGAATTTTCCTTCATAAATTTCCGTTAGTACAGCAGAAACCCCTTCTAGTCCTTTTTTATGTCTCTGAGTGGCAATATTAATATCCTGAGTTCATACAGACATCCCTTTTCCTGAAAATTCCCAAGGAACAGAGGCAAAATCCTCTCCTGAGGCTAATGTTACACATTTCTTGTGGAGCCATTGCAGATGTTTTCCATAGAATGAAGTCAGAGAACTTCATCTTTCTTAGGTTTGAAGGTGCTGACTGATATTCATTTCCTGATTAAACAGCAGAGCCAGACATAGAGCTTAACTCAGGCTGTTCCTATAGGCCACAGAGCATAATAAATAGTGTAAAAAAAAAGAACAGATACTTTCAAATCTCAAGAGTTACAGAATATCCTGAAACATAACAAAAAAGACGTAGAGTATAGAAACTGAAACCTTATGTTGGAATTCTGCAGCATAGACCTCAAATATATGCAGGTAACATGAGAGACAAGCGGTGAACATCTCAGACAAAAACAGACACACTGGAAGAGTTCATTCCTAAGAGGATTTGGTTGTATCAGGATGATGGGTCAGAAATGATTAAACCATTGCTTCTCAACCAGGAGTGGGTGAAGTGGCTCCCAAGTACCCGGGACATCTTTTGTCAAACACATCAGCTGACCTTTCTCCAAGTGACCCAGGATGGAGGAGGTGGAGACAGCAGGGAGGGAAATTGTATTTCTGGTCTGAAAACATTTTGCTCTTCAGTGGAAAACACTTCACTCTTAAAAATCATGTAAGATCTTCCTTCGTGGCCTTGATGCTTGAGTTGTGTTTTAGGTTATCATTTGTTGAAAAATAAATATACCAGAGCACATGCATCTTAAGGTTACATTTTAGTTAAAAATTATATATACCTAGTTAGTCCTCACCTAGATTAAGATATAAACATTTCCTTTAGAGGTCTACCTGTTTATCTCTTAGACCACAGTGGGAAGCTGTCTGTCTCCATAGATTAGTTTTATCTGTATGAGCTTCATCAAAATGGACTCATATTCTATGTACTAGTTGCATCAATTTCATTCAATAATGTGTCTATGGAATTCACCCTTGTAGTTTTTCTTTTTTTGGTGGGGGGGAGGTCCGGTCATGGGGCCTGAACTCTGGGCCTGGGCTCTGTCCCTCAGCTCTTCAGTTCAAGGCTAGCACTCTACCACTTGAGCCACCTTCCCAGCCCCACCCTTGTAGTTTTTCGTTCTGTTGTAATATTGGTTTGTGTATATCTACCATGTTGTATCCATTTTACTGCTGATGGGCACTCGAGTTATTTTCAGTTTTTAACACTTACAAGTAAAGCTGATAGGATCATTTATATCATATTTTATGCCTTTATTTTCTTGAGTATATATTAGGTGTAGGGCTAGTATAGGTGTTGGTTTTAGTTAACACCACCAACCAGTTTTTCAAAGTAGTTGTTACAAAACTCTCTCTCTCTCTCTCTCTCTCTCTCTCTCTCACACACACACACACACATACACACACACACACAACCACAACTGACACTCTTATCAGCAAGAGCTGAGAGTTACAGTTGCTTCACAATCTCACCAATGCATGGATTGCCAGTTCTTGTACTTTAAGCTATTCTAGGATAACCTTCCTATGTCAGTGTCTCTCAACCTTTGCTACATATTAGAAGTATCCAGTGAACTTTTGAAACCCCCAATAACTAGCCTGGATCTTGGGCCAATTAAATCAGTGTCTTTCCTCAAGATGCATGTATTTTAATTTTCCTAGAGAATTCCAAGTGAGCTTAGATGATTGAATACCAATGCCTTAAGTTACTTGAATACTGTCCTTAACTTC